CCATATTCATCATCACTGATGACTTCCTCAAGATGCTTTGTCTTTCTCTTTGCCTTCTTACCTACATAAGGTTCCGTCACTGGATGAGAAGCAGTAGAAGCTGAACTTATTTCAGGATGAGATTCTGTGCTTTTACTTGTTAATTCAGCATGCTTTTCTTTTTGAAGACATACATTTTTGACAACTACTTCACATCTTCGAATAACTGACTGAAAGGGGACACAAGAATCCAATCTTGCTTCAGAAACACGTACTATAATGGGATCTCCAGAACATCCAGGCTTTGAATTAAAAGAGTCAGAATCCAAATTTAATTCAGAATCAGTAGGTTCATTTTCCTTTTGTTCAATTTGTTCTACAGGTACCTGCTCTTCTTTGGGGGGATTTATCTTTTTAACAGCTACATCAGAATTAGTCACTGAATGAAGAGGGGCATTAGAATCCAAACATATTTCAGAACCACTGGGACTGTCATTCTTCCCTTCTAAGTTTTCTTCTTCCTGAATGATTACTTCTTTAACAGCTACTTCAGGGTGATCATTTCCTGAATGAAGAGGAATATCAGAATCAAATGTTATTCCAGAAACACAAGATTCATTACTCTTATTTTCCAGACCAACAGGTTCCTCCTCATAAACAGCTACTTGAGGTTGGTCAGCTACTGAGTCATCGGGAATATCAGAATCAAAAGTTATGTCAGAACTACTTGACACACAGTTTTCATCTTCCAGGTTAAAGTCATCTTCGTTTAATCCTTCAAAATCCAGGAGAGACCGCTCAGTAACTGACAGAAGAGGGGAATCGGAATCAAATGTCAACTCAGAACTGGAGCACCCATTGCTCTTAACTTCCATGTCGACATTTAACTCATCAAGATTTACTTCACCCCAAGCCCCTTGAGGTTGATCATTAGCTGACTGATAAGAAGAAGCCTGGGAATCAAAACTTAGATTAGAAATGCCAGAGTGAACACTCTGATTTTCTAGGTCAAGATCTACTTCCTCAGGATTTACTGGAGATTGATCAGCCTCTAATTGAGCATCAGCATGAAAACCCACTTCTGGACCATGAGACTCACAGTTCATATCCCCAAGGCTGGTATTCTTCTGATTTGGAAGATTTATTTCTTCTACTTGTCTCTGGGGTTCATCAGGCACTGTCTCAAGAGAACCATGAGGTTCAGGATGTGCTTCAGCACTACTGGGTTGGTCTTCATTTTCTTGTTCAACAGCTCTGTCTCTTGGGCTTCTTTCTTGAACAGGCATCTGGGGATGGTCCAGAGCTGCATCACTGTCAGAACTGAAACTACTTGACCCGTAGTTCTCATCAACCAGGTTTGCATGGACATTGTTTACAGGATTTTGTTGTCGTGCTGCTGCTGGAGTCTCATCAGCTGAGGAGCCGGAATCTTCACATGGTTCAGAGCTGCCACTTCCATAGCTCTTGTCAACCAAACGAAGGGGCACTACTACTTCCACTGGCTGTGGGGGACGGTGACTAGTTGACGGAAGTGAGTCATCACCATCAAAATTCACTTCAGAGCCACTAGACTCATAGCTTTCATCAACCAGACTAATGAGCTGCATGTTCTGTGTAATCACTCGAGAGCGGTTGGTAGGCACCTGACGAGAACTGCTACCATTATCTGAAGTTGCTCCAGAAACAGTGGGAATTTCGTTCCTAGGCTGTGCATCAGCATGTGTTTCTTCTGGTACATTTATTTCTCTGGGGGTCAGTTCAGATATGGCACTCAGTGACTGACAAGAGGATCCACAATCAAAACTCACGTCAGAACCTCTAGATTCATAGCTCACATCTTCTTGGTCAACTCCTTCCTCCTCCTCCTCTTCCTGCTCCAACTCTTCTTCCTGCTCCTCCTCTTCTTCTTCCTGCTCTTCTTCCTCTTCCTCCTCCAAAAGACTTAAGTCATGTACAGGAGCTTGGGAAGGACCAGGTACTGCCTTAAGAGACCCACGATCAAACCTCTTTTCAGAAGTCATTGAGCGCTTCTGTTTCAGAAGTGTTGACTTGTTACGAACCAAATGTGTTTCTTCTTGGGGACGAACTGTATTTGAACGAGTTGCCTCACGACGCTTTGGAATGGCACCTTCACGTGCTTGTTCTAGTAGTGTGTCGGTCCCACTCGGGTTTCCTGATGTACCTGCCTCTATCTCAGAAGACTCAGCTCCTACAGAACAAAGCTCAGGACCTGTTACCTCACGGACTCGTACGACAGGGGAAAAAGACGCACCCTTAGCTCTGATATTTCTCTGTGCAAGCAATTTGTCTAAATTTATACTTAGTTTCTTTTTTGGATCTCTAGTTTTGGGTTGAGAGGATGGGTTGCTAGGGCCCTGATCTGGGGAGTCAAAGTATGTTTCAAGGTTCTCTGTGTCACAAGCTGGAAAGGAATCTGAAGCAACTGCCAGTACTAACCGAGGAACAGTGTTAGCCGCAACTGGTCTCTCGAAAGAGCCGCTAGGCAAAGAGCTGGCAGGAGCATTACAAATCACAGGGGGACGCACTAACTTTTTTCCACTAGTTGTAGCCTGAACAACACCGACTGAATTAACTTTTTTCACACCACTCTCAACTTTATGAGCCAATTCCAAGGACTGCTGCTGTCCCCGTTCCAGTTTTTGAATAACTGATGGTCGAACTGCAACCTCTGCGCCTTCCTGAGAGGTACCAGGTCTATAATCTATCTCTTCGACAGATCCCGAATCCTCGGAGTTCCTCTCTGCATTGCTATCTGCAGTGTCATCATCCTTCTCATCAGAGTCATCCAAAATCACCACTTCAGGTGATCCAGGATCATCATCATCTGCTGCTGCTGCTGCTGCTGCTGCTGCTGCTGCTGCTGCTGCTACTGCTACTGGTGGTGGTGGTGGTGGTGGTAGTGCTGCTGCTGCCTCATCTGGTGCAGATCTAAGAAAGAAGGGGAAAAATATTAAAATATCCTAGTTTTTGTTTAAAATCCATGATATTGTTTTCTTTCTATTATGGACCATTCTTAGAGGAAAAGGAATGCAGACTGTACACTCCATGGACTTTAGGAAGTTAGCTAGTATAGAAGATACAATAAGTCCACCAATTGCTATTCTATAAACAAGTGGCTCCTGAACATAGAAAAATGCAAATGAATCTCTATATCCATCCTTCAGTTATCACTGTAAACACTACAAAGTTTGACTCAGAGGCTCAAGATGCCACTCAGTTGCTAAAGCACTTGCCAAGTGTGTGCAAGGCCCTGGGTCTGATCCCTACAACCTCAAATTTTAAGAGCTATGTCAAAAATTAACAGTATATAGTTAATTCTATCTGTAGAAGCACATGTAAGAAGCTAGTCCTATCTGTTACCTTTAGTAAAGTGAAAGTAAAGTCTGGGGCCTCAAAAGGAATATAGATTTATCTCTTTCTCTTTTATTAAAGATTAATTTATGTATTTTATGTTTATGAATACATTGTCTTTATGCACACGAGAAGAGGGCATCAGATCCCACTATAGATGGTTGTGAGCTGGGAACTGAACTCAGGACCTGTAGAAGAGCAGCCAGTGCTCTTAACTGCTGGGTCATCCCTCCAGCCCTTCTTTTCTTTTTATAAGGTGATGATCTGGCTATGCTGCCCAGATTGACCTTTCTTTTGGATGAGCAATGCTCCCACTTCAGCTTCCCCAAGTAGAATTATAGGCACAATACCATCATGCCCTTTAGACTTATGACTAAATCATTTTTTGAGTGGTCCTTTGAATTATATCTATGTATACTATATTTTCAATTCAAAATTTTAAATACTTTTTTAAAGATCTGAAATTTCATTACCTAAAAATCTGTCACTTCATCTCTTATACTGCCATCAGCACAACAAGCTTGATTCAAAACATTTTAGGGATCCTTCTTTCATGTAGATAAACAGCTGTCCTAAAAATGTTGTCATAGTCTTAATTCAGTCATAGCAATCACCTACTATATACTAAAGGTTCTCTAACACAGTGGTACACTCTGGTAGGCACTTGAGCAAATACAAAGAAAGAAAAAAAGCTGGCTCTCAGGAAGCATTCAATTAGTAGCAACTTCCAGTGCAAAATGTCAATATCATCCTACTTAGACCTCCAAAAAAAAGATATCATAGACAAAAGAGACCTAAGATATCATAAGCTAATATAAGGTGAATATCCTAAAACAGAAAGAGGTCAAACTAGAAAATCTTAGTTTGAAAAGTCAACTTAAAAATTATTGAAAAATTGTGAACAAGTTATAAACTGTAATATATTATCAGTTTATGAGTTAAAACAAACGTACCAGACTAATGTTGAGACATAATATTAGGTAAGTTCAGTGAGGTCATATTCTAAAGAGCCTCTTCTTTTTAGAGAAGACATGATCTTACTATGTAGCCCTGCTATAGTGGAACTCACTATGTTAAGTTTGAAGCCAAGCTGGCCTCAAACTCACAGAGATATGCCTAGCTCCACCTTTTGAGTGCTAAAATTAAAGGCCTATACTACTATGCCCATCTTTATAAAAACCTTTATTGGCACTTTTAATTTTTCTGCTGAAATTGTCTTTAAAAGATTACAGCCTAAGGCTGGAAGAAATGGCTGCAATAGTAGAGCGTCTGCTGTATGAGGACCTGAGTTTGAATCCCCAGCATCTACATAAGAATGAGAACCAGAACCATGTGAGGCAGTGCACATCTATACCAACAGAAGAGTGAAGGCTGGAAGAATCCCAGGGCTTCACTGGCCTACAGGTCTAGTCAAAACAGGTAACTCCAAGTTCAGTATGAGACTGTCTCTAACAATACGGTGGTGAGCTAAAGATGACGCTCAGCACTAAACTCTGGCCTCTTGTACAATACAATACAGCTCTATAGCTTAGCAGCAGCAAGGTGGCAAACACCTGTAATCTCAGAACTCTGAGGCTGAGAAGGAGGATAGCAAATTCAAGGCCATGCTGGGATAAATTATGAGGCACTGTCTCAAAAACAAACAACAGGTGCTTACTTCAGCAGCACATATACTAAAATTCAAATGATACAGATATTAACATTGGCCCTGCTCAAAGAAGATGTACAAATTTGGAAAGTGTTCCACATTACTGTGTTTGTGGTTTTGGTGTTTTATTGAATATATAATAAAATAATCTGTTACCATAAAATGTGATACACAAATCTCTACCACTGTAATAACCAAATGAATGTCTAGACAAATTAGAAAATATAGCTGGGTGTGGTGGTGCATGTAGTGACAGGTGAAGCTCTGTGAGTTAGAGGCTAGCCTGGTCTACAGAGTGAGTTCCAGGACAGCCAGGGCTACACAGAGAAACCCTGTCTCGAAAAAACAAAAACAAAAAAAAAAAAACAAAAACAAATTAAAAACTATTTTAAACTTGAAAAACATATACATGTGTCACCAATTGCTTTTATTTTTTCTAAAGACTTTGTGTGGGTTTTACCTGCATGTATCTATGTGCACCACATGTATCACTGGTATCTGTAGAGGCCGGAAGGAGGAAGTATAGCCCCTGGAACTAGAGTCCCAGGTGTTGTGAAGTACTCGATGTAGGTGCTGGGAACCTAACTTGGGTCCTTTGGAAACACAGTAAGTGTTTTTAGCCACTAAGCCCCTGTGTGAATTAACACAACGGAATTAATACTATCATTCCATAAATCAATTTTTTAAAAAGTTTTTTAGATGTTTTGTGTGTGAGCATTTTGCCTATGTGTGTCTAAGTACACACGTCTGTGTCTTGTGTTTACTGAGGTCAGAAGAGGGTATCGGAAACCTAGAACTGGAATCAAAAGTGGTTGTGAGATATTATGTGCATGTTCAGAACTAATTCTGAGTCCTTTGGGAGAACAGTACGTTGTCTTAGTTGCTGAGACATTACCCCATCCCCTCCATAAGTCATTTTATTTAATACTAATTTGGAATGTGAGAAATAAAAATTATATCTATCAATAATATAGTATTATACTATGACAAAAAACAATGTTGACTTCTAAGCAATGAAATTATAACGCAACGACCACTTTCACCTTTTGAATTTTCAAAACTCTACATTGCCTACATTTGTTTTAAACATACTGATAACTAATTCTTTAACAAAACAACACAGAAAATTTAAGGAAACAAAAAATGAAAGGAGAGGGAGAAAAGACAGAACAATATGACAGCTACCAATTAGATGTTTCTACGTGTACCTATGTTTGTGTTTATATTTAATACTAACAACTTAAAATTCAATTTCTAGTCATTTGCCACTTTACCACTAAAAAAGCCCTACAAATATACAACTATTAAAAGTTAAAAAAAAAACCAGAAACACTTGTACATAAACTCTTAAGCTAAAAGGGAACTTTAAGCACTAGTGAGATGGCTCAGTAGGTAAATTGCGATGCAATGCTTTAAGCCATGTTAATCAAGTTACCACCATCCATGTTTGAAGAATGGACTAGTGGGAGTGGAAACACAAAGGACAGTAGTGAGTGAATTCAAAAAAAGTAAAATGGCACAAACATCAAAATGTCAATGAAAACCATTATTTGGTATCATAACAAAACAAACTTAGGAATTTTTTTTTAAACATCACCAGCAATTAAATATGTTGACATCATGTGCCCTAAAGGATACAACCTCTGTTCTGAGGTGTTGCTGCTCAAAATGTATAATCTTAGTTTAATTGTGAGAAAACATCAGACAGGACTCAATTGGAATAAAATAAAATTTTCCATAAAGTAAATGGCCACCGCTCCTAAAAGGAGTCACAGTCTTTTGTTTGTTTGATTGTTTGGTTTGTTTTTTGTGGTTTTCTTTGAGACGGAATTTCTCTATGTAATATCCCTGGCTGTCCTAGAACTAACTCTGTAGACCAGGCTGGTCTTGAACTCAAAGATCTACCTGCTTCTGACTCCCCAAGTGCTAAGATTAAAGGTGTAGGCCACTACCACCTGCCCAGGTGTCACAGTCTTAATAAGTAGACTAATAATGATGATGTGATAAAGCTGAAGCAGAGGAAGGAGACAGGACACTCAATGCAGTGTATGAGCTTGGGTGGTCCCGGCACAGGACAACAGCATGACGAAAGGGGACATTCTATAAACAGGCTAGCAGTACCCATAAAGGCAGTTCCTAGTTTAGAAAACTGCACTGTGCTCGTTTTAGAGTCCACAGTCAGGGCACTAGCTTCTCCCATCAGTTTTCCAATGTTTTCAGTAAATCTGGTATATTATCTCAAAATAAAAAGTTTAAAAGACGACAGTGGTTCTAAGCCTTGCTAATGCTGTGACCCTTTAATACAGTCCCTCATATTGTGATGACCCCTGATCATGAAATTATTTTGTTGCTACTTCATAACTGTAATTTTGCTACTGTTATGAATCATAGTGTAAATATCTGTTTTCCAATGGTCTTAGGCGATCCCTGTGAAAGGGCTGTTTGACTCCCAACAGGGTCATGAAGCACATGTTGAGAACTGCTGTTTTATAATAACCTATACACTCTAGCCTAGAAGTTCAAATCCTGTGAAATTAAACTACAAAAACAGTTGCTATGGTGATTTGAACAAACACACACACACACACACACCCCGCGCACAGGCTCCTATGTTTGAATAACTGGTCCCCAGTTGGTAGACCTGTTTGGAAAGGATTAAGAGGTGTGGCCTAATTGGAGGAAGTGTGTCACTGGGGGTGGTCTTTGAGGCTTCAAAAATTCACACCATTCCCAGTTAGCCTGCCCCCCCTCCCCCCCCCTCTCTGCCTCTCGACTGTGGATCAGATGTATGCTCTTAGATACTAGCTCCAGCACCATGCCTGCCTGTTGTCATGTTCCCTGCCATGATGCCAGGATAGTCTGGACTCTAAGCCTCCGGAAATGACAGTCCTAAGATAAATGATTTCTTTTCTAATGGTCATGATGTCTTATCACAGAAATTGAAAAGAAACACAGTTGCACAAGTGTATTTGTTGAAGAAATGCTTATGATGTTTTTAAATCACAAAGTCTCCTGTATGCTCCCATAGTGAGTCTAATCTCATCTTTCTACCAGCTTTTATTAAGAAACAGCATTTTAAAAAACATTTTCCCATTAAAACATTTTCAACATTTCTAAATTCTAGGTTAGTATTTGGCAAAGCACAAGTTTCATTTTCCACCTCTGGAATGTACCTCAGCTAATTCTGCACAGATATGTTCCCACTTTGCTTATCTTGTATGCTTGTTATAATCTGATTTTTAAAAACCCAGATTAACTATTAACTTTTAAGTGTAATCAAATGTTTCTTTTTATTAGAATAATCAAAATAAGCTGACTGGTAGAGGGCTATCAAAGGTCAAAATGATGGTTTAAAGGGTAAAGATGTCTTGTCACCAAGCCTGTGTGTGACTCCCAAAACATACACAGCATTTCAAAGAGAAAACCAGCTCCCATGAGTTGCCCTCTAACTTTCACATATATACATCAGGATACTGACAGAGCATTGAGAGGCCACTCAGTCCAATACTTCCTCCACTCAATCAGCACACAGCTCCGTGAGTATTCAACTGACTTAGATTTTTTAACTGCAACTATCTTGTCCTATTATCATGTAGCTTTTCTGTTACTAATCTTTCAAAACATTTTGTTCCACCTCCACCCAGCATTTAACCCTATTATATACCTAAATAAACACCTTAATGACACATAATTACTTATCATTTTAAGACTCAGAAAAAAGCATAGTTATGCCCATATTTTCTGTAGTAAATAGTTTTTCATTAATGGGGCTGAAGATTAAGGACAAGATTCATTCACTAATACTAAGCAAGCACTCTACAACTCAGCTAACCTTCCAGACCTCTAGTAAAATGTCACAGAAACAACTAAGGTGGAGAAATGGCTCAGCAGTTGAGAGTACTTGCTGTATAGTCATGAGGACCGAAGTTTGGATCCCAACAGCCATACAACAAGCTAGGCATTATGTACATGTACAAGGAGATCAGAGGTAGGTAAAAAGCAGTGTGGGGGGAAGAGGGTTCGTTGAGGCTTCCAGTTCAGCCCAGAAAACACTAACCTCTGTACTAAGCGTGCAAATTCACACATATACAAACATATGTGCACACATATACACAAATCAAACTTTAAAAATAAAAAATTAAAAATATTTATTCTTATATGTATATAAATGTTTTGCCTGCATGTATGTATACCACCTGCATGCCTGTGAAGTCTAAAGAGGTTGTCAGTTCCCCTGGAACTGAGTTACAGTTGGTTGTGAGCCAATGTGGGTGTTGGGAACTGAACCCAAGTCCACTACAAGAGCAAATACTCTTAACTGTTTAAACATCACTCCAGTACCCCACATACAAATAAATCTTTAAACAAATAAGAACAATAAACAATTTAAAATGGAAGTTATTAGATAAAATTTCACTTTAGGACTCAGTAAGTGCTAACTCTTCTCCTAGCCCTAAATCAAAATTTTATCCAGTTAACTTTCATTTCCAGTTATTTATTTTTATTGGTTAAATTAGATAGTTCACTACAGAGCTGGGAGTGCATCCAAGGTAAAGTATTTGCCTGGCATAACTGAGCCCCTAGGTTTGATCCCCAGTTCCATAAACACAAAACGATTTTGTACATCCAATTTTTTTAATTCAAATATAGCCTTTAAAAGCTAGGTAAGTATGGTGGCACATTCATATAATCTCATCACTTGAGAATCTGACAGTCTGAAGCATTTACAGACAAGACTAGACCTGGGGTACACAGCAAGATGGTAAAGGTGGGTGTAATATACCACTGACACAAATATTAATATTCTACTGAACTATCTTACCTGTTGTCTTGGTAATTGTATGGGTGGTGTCGCAGGACATCCTGCAAAAAGCGATCCATCAGAGCGTTATTGGTAATTGCCCGACGTCTGCTCTGTCTGGTCACGCTTCTGTGCTGAGAACTAAACAAGTGCTATAAAGAGAAACCAGTAGGTATTTTCAATGAGCAATGTTATTCGTGGTAACACAAAATGGACTCATGAATGTATTCCTTGTAGAAATCTAAGTTGGTAGTCTTTCCATACAGCACACCTCTAATAAGTGCATCTAAACCCATAAAAGTAT